ACAAGCACCACGATCCTTCAAGTAGGATCTATGTGTCGTTTCATTCGGAGGAGCTGTTCTGGACTGACTTAGATGTGCGCGCAGCAGTATGCCCGGGAAGTCCAGGCATGTCATGACTGTTATGAGATATGAACCATGACCTTCGGCCGCAAGCTTCAGAAGTACACGGCGACAAATGGCTTTGGGTGCAGCAAACCTACCCCAGAAGTTGAACAAAGCTTGGCTTAGAGATTCCAGGATTGCAGGCTGCGGAGCTTGACATGTAGGGGTGAGGTTTATCTGTAGAAGTGAGACATGACGGAGCTGGCTGGGTATTCGGATTCGGAATTTGGTGTGCGGAGGGGGCAATCCCAAGCGCAACTGAGGCGGCTAACTACCTTATGAGTCAATGATCTTTCGGAGCGGGCTTTCTCTGCAGCGCTGACCTCAGCACACTCAGATTCGCAACTTCGAGCGTGGCTTTGCGTTATGGGTACATGGCACGGAGTCAGATGTGCGAAAGCAGCGGAAACGGTCCTTGGAGTTTTGTCAAGTCAATTGTCGTGCATTTCACAAATTCCCTCCGACCGCTTACCTTACTTCGCGGGCCTGCCTTGCAGCACTGGCTCTGCACTGCTGAGGCTCGTCGGCGTGTCTGCACCTCACTCGCGCATGCCATGAGGCTTGAGCCTGTGAAAATGGCGGGTTCCACGAGTCTGGGGTGTTGGGTCTGGCCTCGCTTAAGGCCGGTCCCAAAACTTGGAGTGTTGAATACATCAACGCTGGCATCTTCTACCGTGTGGATAAGCTGCAGACCGCAGAAGGCCATACAAGACGAAAATACAGCCGGAACTTGCTTTTGCTAGGGAAGCACGATGCATCTTTTCCAGTCACAGGGGGAATTTGCAGTGAAGCGGCTCAGACTTCAAGGCTCGCGGTTCTTCATGGACTATAACGCTGTAGCAAAAAGCGGCCGTGATCAAAGTCGGAGTCGTGAGAAATCCCCTCTTAGATGGTTGTGCGCGGACTCTCTTGTTGAAGGGTTTGAGAGCTGATTGTCCACTTACTAGATCTTGGATTCTGGGAGAAGTGGCAGGATTTGTGAAACACATACAAGCTGGTGCAGGCTTCCATGCCCCGACCATCTTGATTGTTCGAAAACGCATCATAACGCAGCCTGGGATAGGCAGCCAGCCTGGAGTAGTATCTGTCGAATGAACAGTTGAGCTCTATACATTCTTCTCGGAAAGGCCCGAAAAGCCTTAAAACTTACACTGCCTACACCCTGGTTCCTCAGCATCAAATTCGAGGCTGCTCACATCCAGATGAGTTCTGTCGTGTTGACACTCACTGACAATCTTCACTCTTGTTGATTCCGCTTCATAAGCCTAGCACAATGTCTATTGTCGAACGGATGATGCTCAAAAGCTTTGGCATGGTTCGGGGAGTTGCTGGGCCCGAAGCTCGCGGAGTTAAAGTCGGGTCCATGCACGGCTAGGATGACGTCGGTTTGACTGTGAGGTTTGTGATCTAGACTGTAGAGGTTTAGGAAGGAAGAAGTTCGGAAGAATGAGACTGTCACCCCGCAGTACCTTCGCGAATTCTCTAAAGTTCAAGCGTGTAACCCTCGAGAATGAACGAGCTCAGGCACTTGACAATGAGTCAGCTGCACAACTAGAATCATGGACACGTTGTTTTCGGCAGGTGCGGCTTGCATCGATTCACGTGCCGGAGGGTCATACAATCTTTCAGCCTCCTTGCGTTGTTGATACATCTCAGCACTCCCACCGTTAACTGACAGCGTGTGCAGCAAACTTGCAGAACGAGCACTTTTGCTCAGCTCTCCGGTGCGTCGAGCGTTGTGCCTGCCCTGGGAGGATCAGAGCTTGCATGTCTCAACATGTCCTGCACATCTTTGTGGACCCGGCAACACCTAGACGGCGTTTTCGGTCTCAGCAGGGTTTGGAACCTGTCGTTGTGGGCAATCCTAGACAGTCTGGAACCTGTCAGTTCCACCGTTCTAAAGACTTCATAATAAATCAGTCGACACTATGCGTATAGGCTGCAAGCTTTTCGAGTTCAGTAGCGGTGTGACAGCCGCTCGATGTTTGCCGGCAAGTCCGCTAATGCTGAACCCAATCGGGTGCAAAATCCATGATGCTCCTCTGGCCCCGGACCGTCGCATGGCCAGGCAATCCTCCAAAACTGAATGGCAAACTCGTCATCTAAACACTGTATTGAGATTTTGAAGGCTGTGTCGAGTTGCATGTAAGGGTATTGAGACCATACTCTCCTATGTCGGTATGTGATGCGCAATGTATACCACTGCAGGCGTAAACCCGCATTGCCAGCTGTGGGACTGTAGGACTGCCTGTAGGGAAGACTCCATTCGTACACTTGTAGCAATCAATATGCATAGCGGGGTCACATCCAAATCCCCGTATCCTAAAGCCAGCTGCCCAGCAGCCCACCTGCCAACGCGAGACAATGGATCCAATATCCTCGATCAGATGCATCCTGCAAACAAGCCTTCGATCCCGACAGTCTACCTGTCTCAGTGAAACATGGTCGTATCTCAGCAGGCTGCGCAGCCTGCGCGAAGCTCTGTGTTTTGCACCAACCAACTAAAACAAGATCCAACTGTCGCTTTGGAGGGTTGGTGTGGAGTTTGGCTCGAAGCAGCCTGGCATTCTGACGAAACCCCGCGTTCTCCGAGCGAAAAAGGTTACGCAAGGGCATTGGGGGTTCCCGGGCTAGTCCGATGCAGGATGCGGCTTTCAGCCCTGGATTTGCGAGAGTTCAGACGATCGTCTCTATTGAAGCCCCGCTGCGCCCAGTAGCCTCATGAACAAATGCTTATTTTTGAGCTTTCGACCTGCTTGGATAGTCACATCAAGACAACACATCGCACTCATGATTCCGTACTAAGTTTGGGCACGCAGAGAAGGTTTGTGTTCATGAAGGGAAGCCGCTGTGGATGGTGAAAACACTTGCCAGAATTGGTCTTCCTGTTTCAAGCAGCCTTCGCAACTGCTAGGAAACGCCTTTGGAGAGCCGAAGATAAGTGAACCGCAGCTAAGCTGCTAAGCACTGAGCCCCAACCCTGCCATACTCCCGAATGCCTGAACCGGAAGGCCCATTCAGAGAAGTGAACGAAGTGGGTAGAAATGTCATCAAAGGCTAAGGCTAAGGCGATGTGAGAGTTGGCGCTGAGCTTTTTCTCAGAGGTTGAACATCGAGCAAGTCGGCTTGGAAGACTTCGACGAGGAGGAGGAGCGGTAGCGGGAGCTGAGTGGAGCTGGAGTGGGCAGCTGTAGCCGCTCTGCCACGCCACCCTGCACTGCACACTGTCGAAAGGCGCTTTAAACCTCTCCGCAAACTAGCTCAGCTATTCCAGGCCGACAGGATTCTCCATGTAACGTCCCCTCGCCGCAGGAAATCGAGCTGGGTCAGACTGAGCAGCAGAAGCAGGCCTTCACAGCTGCATGCTCTCCCAAGCTCGGAAAGTTTTCAGCGTAATTTGGGAATGGCGTGGGATTTCAGCTGGACGCCTGGACGCCTACAGGCTCAGGAACGCTTGCAGGAATGCACAAGCACAACAAGCCAAACCCTGAGGGTTGAGTTCAGGCCAACTGCCGCGTCAAGATGGGTAGGGGGGCATTGGGGTTGCAAAAGTGGTTGGGCCAGAAGCGCTTTGGGCTGTGGGCTGCCCTTGAGAAGACTTCCAATTCCACAAAGTGGCTTCTGAAGCTAGTTCTCCACAGTCCCGACGCCGAACTTTCTTCTACCTCCAACCCTCAATAACGGACTCGAACTACTACCGAAATCTCATTTTGTTGGGCCCGACAATCTAATGTTTCAGCTTCAGCAGAGCACTGAAGTATTGCTGCTAACCCCTTGGCCCAAAGTGTAAGCCGGAAGCAATGGAGACCAAGGCCCGGCTGCTCCGGAAACATCTCCAAGCTGTTGAAAGTACTTGCTGTAGCTGCCAGGAGAGCGCCACGCGGAACCTCACCGAGGGTGACGATGCTCTCCGCGAGGCCACAAACTAGAGCTACCTACCACTAGTTGAGGCCGCGCTCGTCTGAAGATCGCCAAGTTTCATGAGTGTGCTGAGCTTCAGGCTCAGCCGAGAGCGATAGTACAGGTGGAAAGTATGAAAGGTCCGCAGCAGGGAGCAGAAACAGAGGCAAACACATGGAAGAAACGACGATATGCCCCTTACAGCTGGGGCTGAGCGCGTTCGCAGGCACCTGAAAGAAGTAGATATTTCGGGCACAAGGCAAAGGCGCTGTTTCAGGCAGGCACCTAGAGCAAGATTCTCTCTCAGTTCTCCGCTCCAGCAAGCTTTGTGATCGCTCGCCGAGAAGTCTGAAGACTCCTGATATTGAACTCGGGTGACCAGCCCCGAAGCTAGGACATCAAGCGGCGGCAGCGGGAAGCAGCCCGCTTCATCGTCAACGCTGCCAATCTCATCGCTCCGGTCCGCGGGGGGGGGGGGGGGGGGGG